ACCCAAATACAGTTTAGTTAGTGAGCCTGATAAATTACAGTGGAATTCTGGGATACTGATAGAGTAATTTATAATATTTGGTTATTTCAAAATGCATATATAAAACCTAAAAAATTATTTTGTTTTACATCCTCCATCTGCAAAATTTGACAAGGCTTAGCAAATTATGGTAAGCGGGCAAATGAGTACAAAGTTTTTGAATAGAAAAATCATTGTTTTCTATATTTCTACATTTACTGTTCTATTGTTTTAAGAAAAATAACTGAAATTTAAGAACTTATTTGTAAATAGTAATAATATATATACATATGTAATGTATTATAACCAAAATGGGACTGTATTTTACAAAATACTGGTTCACTAGAACAAACCTGATAATCTGTAAAATTTTGTGAAGATATACGCATACTGTATTAAAAGTTATAGTATGAAAACTATAACAAGCACAAAATCATTACAAAGTCTGTCCCTAGGACCAAATCCGTAGTGAGAGAGTTAACTTTTTTAATGCATCATGTAAATACTATTTGTGAGTTCTTATAAATGCAACCAGAGACAATTACCTATTGGTTAAATTTTAATTTCTTTCAGTAGTTTAAAGTACTTTACCTGCACTAATAACAAATATTAGCCGATATGGTTCGGTAACCATTACCCATCGGTATTGACCAAGAAAATCTTAATCAGTGCACCCATATTTATCATTTTAGATAACAAATCTGAAGTAAAAAAGAAATCGAATGAAACATTTCTTTCAATTGCAAGCTCCCCTCGCTTGTGTAATTCACAAAGTGTGGGATAATTTGTTATAACTTGATCCATTTGATTACGCTAAGCTGTCCCATTGTAATATAGTACTGAAAGATTGTCTAAAGCTATATATATTCATATTTTTCATATCACTGTACATTTTTGATTTTGCTACAGTTAGTGTTAGGATAGAGAGAAAAGAAGAGATAAAGTACGAAGTTTTACCTAAGAAAACTGATATTCTTCTAGGAAGTTCTAAAGGTTATGCAAATGAAATATGAATATTGTTAGATGAAAGAAGTATTTTTATTCTTATCATGAAAATCACCTTTCATTCAGACTGACTCAGTAAAGGCTGTGTAAACTTACAGATAAATCTCTAGCAAAAATACTTAATTGAAAAATCTGATTTTTTGTTTACAACATAATTGTAATGTTTACTACAAGATTGCCAAATTTTATTAAGTCAATTCAGAATTCTAGTATGAACAGTTTCATGATTACATGGTGGTTACAAGGTTAGTCAAAATGACAAAGACCACACTCATAGGGTTAATAATTAATACAGTTTTGGGAGATCCAATATGCATTAACACTGTTTAGTACTCCCAACATTAAGATCTCCAACACTGCCAACTAAGGTTAGGCCAAATTTAAGAAACTGACTTTGTAATTGATTTATTACAAAATAAGCATGATAAATACAGTTGTTTTTCCCATTCTTATTCAAGAACAGTTTTATTAAATGACCATGACACTTGAGCCACGAAAATAGAATTGAACAGTTTTGAATAACTTTTTAAAATTCTGTAACACATTCTGAGTGATTACAATTATTGCCTCTATTTCAACAAGCTATATAGCATGTACACTCATTCAGCCACTGTAATTGTTATCCAACATTCAGAATAAAAACTGATTGCTAACATATTTCTGTCATATGAGCAATCCTTTTTAATAAACCTAGGTATAGTTCACACTTGTTTTATGCAAATTCTGAAATATGGTATCAGTGAATCCTTTTACATTTATTTGTAATTTTATTATTGAAAAAAGAAAACACATACTCAGCATTATAATTAATTTATTAATTTATTTTGTTTCACGTCATATTTTGTCTTTTATAATCACTACAATATTAAACTGAACTAGCTTCATGTTCTGTTTTCTTCTAAAGATACCTGCTTTGGTGTGAGATACATTGCTTGGTCTGTAGAAGAAAATTTGATATTTTGGTTTTAGATGACAAGAGCTTCTGCTATGATGTGTGGTAGATTTTTTTCACATCAGATTCATACTATAACTTCCTGACGATAGTAAAACTTAAAAATATCACTTTCAACTTCTACTCCAACGGTTAGAAGGTTTTATTTTTGTTCATCTTCAGTGGCATTTAATGACTTGATGAGGATGTTAAAATTTTAAAAGCTTGGGTTCTATTCTGTTCATATATGAACTATTGTCCTATGTAAGCACATTCTGCAATATTTATTTTTAATTTTCATTAATTCTAATATGTTCATCAATTCTCAAATAAAACCATTCAAACACTTGTTTCTTACATTCTGAAAATGTGTTTTTAAAGAAAATGCAGAAACAATACAAACTTAACTCTTGTTACAGCTGTACATTTAAGCTATAAAATAATCCTACTCACCCTATCCTCATCACTTTCCTGCATATTCATAAAAATCAGATTTTGAAGAAACTCAGATGCAAGAAGATATTTCTGAAAGTAGAACATAACATTCAGCCATTCTGTTTAATTAAACACTTGTGCTTGTTTATAACAATTTAAAATTTAATAGAATATTACCTGTACTGAGGGGAAAAACAAAATAAAGTTTTCAGTTGTGAAATTTTATGCTAAAATTTAACCTTCTATCTAAATTTTACTATAGGCAATTCAATAATTAAGACTTGGTTTAGATAGTCCCACTTTCCATTGTTTACTTGCAGCTACGTGTAGAATATCACACCTGCAACCTGTGGCCATGCAGGTAATTTGATAAAGAGTGACATTTAACTGGAACTGGTGCAATGAGCTGTACAAACAAAAACAGTGTGTAGTTTTCTAAAACACTCTGAATAATACAAGAAAACAAAATAAACTTTATGTACTATGTATATATTTACTCTTTGTTTAAGGAAACACAGAGTTTTACATACAGGGCTCATCACAGAAAAAAAAAAGAATTTTTCACACTGTCAGAAATATATTTTTTTCATCCATCCACGTTTGTTATGTTATTGTCTACCTATCAAAATCTTTCTAAAGGTATATATAAAAAGTTTTACTGAGATAATTTTAACTACCTTACTAAAGTATAAGATAATTGTTCTTGTATACACAGAAGCTGATAAACTAAGAAAAAAAACTGTTAAAACATTATTCAACAAAACCAGTATTTCTTTTTATATTAATGCCTTGCAAATTTCACTTAATACAAATACATCATTTCTATTACTCTCTTGAAGCAGATGCATTACTACAAAAAAAACAATGAAAATCACCACAATTCACACACAAGTCCCGTACAGTTTGCTGTTCATTAGGGTCTACTCATGTGGCACTAAAAGATAAACTGATTTCTTGCTAGCAGTTTTCGTACTATTAGCCATTAAATGTGACTTTGACTTTTTTTAAGTATGCCATTTTCGAAGATGCAAACAACACTTGTGGGCCAAGTTCCAAATTCTTATATTTTGCACTACTAGGATTATCATGTAAATGTAGTATAATAGACAGTATTTATACCCTTAATGACTCTGTTGTAGCTTCCTCTAGCATGAGAAAATAATGTTTCTTTTTTCTGTTATAGTCACCATTTAATAATCAGTTGCTTTGCTTCCTTACAGGTTCTGAGGTTTAGTGCTTTATCTCAACTTTATAACGAGATCGGATTTCACAGAAAGGCTGCTTTTTTCAAACGAGTCGCTGCCATGCGCTGTGTTGCAACTCAGAATCCTAATTCCAATTGGCAACAGGTAAGATAAATATTTCTTTAACATTACTTCAGAGATTTTTATTAAATCAATACTACTTATTTCGTGTTTAAGGCTGTGAGAAAATAACTGATGTTTTATGTTTATAAGTATTGTATGATACATCGTAAACTCATCTCCTTTTAAACTGATTACATTAAAGAAGAAAAACTAATTTTTTATTATACAAGTTTTTTTTCTAAAGAAGTTTTTTTATTTTTACTCTACACTGTTAAAGTTGTGTGGTGAATACATTCTATGTCACAGTGTTATCAGTTACTTCTACAAACGCTGGAAGGATACAAGATTTCCATGGACCCAAAAGAGTTCCTGCAAGGTAATGTTTGCTTATTTAATCATTGTAAATGTAATTTTAAAAGCTATTAAATACTGTTTGATTGTTTAATATATTACCACTAATGTTATTCAATTCTGTGTTCACAATAATCTTTTTTTTAACTTTAAACTGTATAAAAACTTCTTTTATAAGAACAAACTGGTGTGATTATGAATGGATGATATATTGTTAAAATGTGTGAAGTTCCACTCATTTCAATTATGATGAAAAAATTATTTAAACAGAGAGAGGGATTTCTATGGGGGTTTGGAGTCCATTTTACTTCACCATATAGTAACCTAACGGACTCAAACCCCGATAGATATTACATACACTTCACCATATAGTAACCTAACGGACTCAAACCCCCATAGATATTATATACACTTCACCATATAGTAACCTAACGGACTTAAACCCCATAGATATTATATACACTTCACCATATAGTAACCTAATGGACTTAAACCCCCATAGATATTATATACACTTTACCATATAGTAACCTAATGGACTTAAACCCCCATAGATATTATATACACTTCACCATATAGTAACCTAACAGACTCAAACCCCCATAGATATTATATACACTTCACCATATAGTAACCTAACAGACTCAAACCCCCATAGATATTATATACACTTCACCATATAGTAACCAAACAGACTCAAACCCCCATAGATATTATATACACTTCACCATATAGTAACCTAATGGACTCAAAC